CTAGTAGTTTAGTATATTTAGATACTTTCTCTAAATAGAGCCCTACTCTAAAGAGCCTATAACTAAGGTATAGTAGTTTATAAAAGTATCTACTTCTCTTATAACTTCTTTTATCCTTCTAATAATACTTTCTCTAAACTAGGACTTTCCTAGAAGAGCTTATAACTTTAGGTATTAGTTATAATTTTTATAACTTTAATAGGTCTTTCTAGAGCTAAAATATATTTTTATTTTCTAGAGATATAATATATAGAGCTTTAACTTATATTACCTTCTTTTTCTTCTTCTTTTTTAAAGTCTAATAGGTATAGGAATAACCTATACTACTAGAATTCTTAAAATAGTTAGACTACTAACTCGAGCTTATAACCTACTAAGCTAAGACTACTCTATAGAGTTTATATAGATATTAAATATAATAGAAGTAACTAAATTAATAAATAATAGTAGGAACTAACTTAGTTATAATTATATTAGTTAGTTATAGGAAGTAGGAGAACTAAAGTAAAATAAGCTCCCTTTAGTTACGTAACTTTTAGTATTTATACTTTAGGTATCTATTCTAGCCTACCTATCTAGACTATACTATTTAATATATAATAGAATTGTAGTAAGAGTACTAAATAGTAAAGAACTAAGAATTATTAGAAGAGCTTTATAGCGTACTAAAGAAAAGTAGAGACTAGCGCAATGCCTAAAGTTACTCGAGAAGCAGCTGTTTATACTACTAACTTTATTCCTAAGCCTCCTTACCAAAGCTGATGGACCCTCATTGTCCAGCTTTGCCTTGCCGCTCCTGCGAGGTCGTCAACGTTTAGTACGTCTGCACCTTCCTTAACGAGCACATGCCAAATATGATTCCTTAGCGCAATGGGCCAGGATGGTGTATTCCAGAAACGAGCCTTTAATCCTCTACGTTTCGCGCCGCGGATCTGTCCACGAATAATCTCCATTTGCCTCGGTGAGAGGTGTCCACGCCACACGAAGCCAACGGTCTTGGAGAAGGATGTGCTTGCGTAGTACGAAGTGCTGGTATTGAAGTAGTTGATGCCGTGTATGTTAGGCGCTGGCGAGTCTTGCATTGACATGGCGAGACCGTAATCCATCTCACTGTCCAGAGCGTGGATTGGATCTTGATGGTCGATTGGACTTCGAGGCGCTTCCCAGAGCCTGTCCAAGGGGGCGTCGTAGAAGACATCGCGATACGTGCTATTAGCTATGAGCATGTCGAATGGCGTGTCACCTGTTGCAACTACTGTTACTGCGCGCTGGACGACCTCATTACCACTCCAATGAGTTAGATAATTCCTTTCGCGTAGTGCGTGCAGTTGCTTCTGCAGAACAGGGAAAGCATCATGCCCATTATCCTTAAGGTCGACCAAAAGTGTTAGAGTCTGTTGTGGCCTTGTTTTAAAGACACCGCTCCAAACTTCGGGTTCCTCTACAATGCCGTGCTCGTGGTTCATCTTGTCAAGCAGTTCCACTAGCTTGTTTATGTAAAGCGTGCGGAATGTATGTTCGCGTTTGAGAGACGATACAGTGTGACCGACGTATAGTTCCTCGTCAAACAGCCAGACGTCTGCCTCAACACCTGTGCAGCCCCAGCTGAGAGCATCGTAAAGTGGCTCCCGCCTCCAGTAATCGTTGTGCGAATGGCATGGTATCGGAAGCACATCTTCCGATGACGCGCTTGCCGTAGAGCGAAAGAAGCCATTGTCGAACCGGTGCGCCCTATCGAGGTCGGGCAGGAATTCGATCGTGTTCGCATCCCAGAAGAGGCGAGACCGACCAATCATGACTTGAAGCAGGTGTAGAATTCCACTGAGCAGATATCAGCAACTACTAATCATTCCTCAAAGTTCCACGAGCGGCATACAACATGGATAGGATCATGACTGGCGAGGTCACGAGCAGTCGCTTCATGATCCCAACAACATATGAGCGACGACATCGTCGAGTCTCACGTTGAAACTGCGGTTTGCGGCTTTGGCGGTTTGAGAAAAGTAGGTGACTGAAACTGGTTATGCCGAAGCCTGCGGTGAAGAGAGCATGCCGCAGCTGAGCGAACGTGGAACCACTAGGCCTATCCTCGATGCCGATGTCGCCTCTCTCGTCGGCCTCGGAGACAGCGTTCAAGTCTGCGCTGGAACTAGGAGGTTCAGCGACGTAGTCGAAGGTGTACTTCTTCGGATACGACATGAGTTATCCTGATGATGGAAAATGATAGGGGTGAACTTAACAACCTGCCCGGGGACGGCTCTGGCGCGCACTTTAAGATACTCCACACGCGGGGTAATCTGAAAATCTAAGAAATGACCGCGCAGCCTCATGACGCAATCGACAGATTGGCCGTCAAACCTCCATATTGTCCAATCACCGCGTAGTGCAAGCAAACTCAAATTTGCTGCTCCTTCGCACTAATATGGCAATTGTACCAGCATGACGCGAATGGTTCAACGTAAGGCTTGGTGGCTAGGTGACCTGGCGCTTGCGCGGCTTCAGCTCGGTTGCAAAGACATACTGGACGAAGATGTACTGTGATCGACGAAATTTGTGAAGCCGCTGCTGTCTCGACCTCTAAAGGGCAGGTGTTGAGACGTGCGCGATCTAGCCACGCACCGCATTGTGCGGTAGAGGTTGACATTCCACTAAATGATGTGGGTCAATCCAAGCGTGTGTAGCAAAAGCTTGCGCAAGCTTGATAGCACGTGGCTTGTTGACCGTCGACGCCAATCGGACGCCGTCGAAAGTCTCTGCACGAACCAAGATGCATTCTGGAAAGGGTTCACGTGCTCCGAGAAGTTGCGCGGGAATTATGGGAATGATCAAATGAATTGAAGACATAAAGTAGGCGCCATGTATTCTTTGCAGATATGCTGTTCTCCAAACACATTTTACGGTGCCTTCGCATGTCACGTTGCGTCATCGTTACAGCGATGGGCGATGATCCATACAGCTTCGGCTAGCTTATGCTAATTCGGACGGCATGATAGTGAGCTGGAACACAGCTTCCAAATCGGATCAGCGCACTATTCGCTGGGGCTTTCATCACCTCATCTCGAAAACAAGGCGACGTTAGGGATACCAATTAAATCTCAGATACTTACAGTCAATGTTCGAGATCAATAGCAGCAGATTTGTCGCGAAAAAGTCAAAAGGCGCTCACGGTTAGCCAACTCGATTAGACTCACTCTGCCCACCATTTCAGACACGCTGAGACGCGAAACCCTTGACGAGGAGCATCGATCAAAAGGCCGCGCGTCTTCAGCCTCCACGGTAAATCAGTGGCATTTGCAAAGCGCCGGCCGGAGCCTCCAACTAGCGTCGATTCTTGCGCCTTTCGTGGTATCTTGGCCAAGGCCTGTGGCGCCGATCGATATACACTGCTTTAGCCGAGCAGCTGCAAAATGTGCAGATCGCACGTGCTGAGGACGTAAGCGTTTCCTGAATACCGGGGTTTTGGCTGTGTGAGATTTTTGGCTGCCTAGACATGTGTCGAATTGGCAAATACTAGACTTTCGGAATTGAGTTGCCCCAAGGAGTAAAGTCACTTTCTTACAAAGAAGCTGCACGTCTCCATGAACGCTCCCTACCTCCCATTACCTCTGTTTCTCGGCTCTCAATATGTCTAGCACTTTCGTTTGGACGACCAGATGCGTACCCGCCCTCAGTGTTTGCCTTGTCGGCATTTTACTCGTCACCTCATTCATCATTTCACCATATGGCAAAGGTGCAAGGGGCGATCACAATGGTAACGCAACCGTCGCACTAATCATCCTCTCCGTCTACACTTTGTTCCTCCACATACTGTCCGTCGCCTTCCCTGTACGTCTGTGCTAGGCCATACGAGATGTGATCAAGAAAATGAGGGCCGCGGGCAACGACATACCGACTACAAGAAGAAGATGTGGGCCAAGCATCAAGAATGAAGAAGGCAGGTATCGACCATCTACGCTGCTGTTCGTCATCATTTTGCCAGTATACAAAGAAGAGATGGCAACGTTGGAGGAGACCTTGCGGTTTATGGCGTCACACGTACAAGCTTGCTCCAGTTACCATGTGCGTGTTGAAGACCATAACCAAGCGGCATCGAGCTTCCATGCTGATGCGAAATAGGTTTACCTTGCTATGGAGGAGGAGGAGGAGGAGGCGAAGTTGACCTTTAAAGCTGCGACTTTGTGCCGAGCATTTGAGAAGCTCTTCTTCCGCATTAGCTACACTCTCCACCCATCCAATATACCCGGCGAGGCTCGAGGCAAAAGCAGTGACGAGTCGTAGGCGGCCAAACAGGTTATGATAGACTATCTAGACGAATTTGTCCAGGAGAGCATAATGCTCACCGTTATAGATAGTAAGTCCACGCAGCCAAAATACTACATATTGACTAACATGCTAGACTAGCCGATACACCCGTGTCTTCCTACTACCTTACCTGAATGGGCTTTCTCTAAGAAAGTCCCACGATTGAGAACAACGGATCACAAGTTAATGCGAGCCTGCCCATGAGGCAAGTGCTACCAGGGCAAGACGCGTAGCATGCTCAGCCCCCAGATGCACAGATGCTATTTGCAAGAGCCTTCGATGCGTGAGGCAGGGTCTTAGACTGCTTTCGAGAGGAGTAATTCACCTATTCTCTAGGCGAGGCTTCGAACGCGCGGCCTTCTTGGCTTTAGCCTTGCAGCTATAGAATGTTACGAGTCGGCTACGAAACCAATTCTGAAATTCACGCCGGGCTCTCTTGCAACTACCCGTAGTCTCACCATTCTTAGCAGTAAGTCGAGGCACTGATGTACCGCGCTGGAGCCTCTTCTAGCTAACAGATGCTACAGAACTCCAAGGTCACACCAGAAGGCCTCTCTTTGAACCAAATCTCACAAGTTACATGGAGAGAATCGAATATCACGGTTGCGAGAAAGAATTCGACGAGGACGCTAGGTACAATTCGTGGAAAAACAACACTGGAATACAAGCGACTGTCAACCTCGAGCCGAGTGCCAGACGGCTCAGCAAACCCACAACTGAGGTCCTCAAGGCCGCATTGGCTTTTACATTCGTCCTCGCGATTGTATTTATTTTCTTCCGAATAGTGTCGGTGCTCGGAGAAGGGCAAATCGGGAGCAGGGCCAATAGCGTGTGGGAGGAGATGAAGGACATGTTCATTGATACTGGTGCCGCTTAAATGGAAATCCACGAATTGTTCATGCCATGGAGATGGTTGATGTTTCGAATGGATAGCAGACAAGATGTCTATGCAGTGCTATAGATATCGCCTCGACGTTAGGTCTCGTGTTCCAGCAGTAAAAGACGTTTCAGCGATGTGCAGGGAGGCATATATAGTAAGGTCGATCCAAAGACTACCACGGCATGCGACATTTTCCTGCAACTTGATATTCCACAACTAAGCGTACTCACCAGAAGTAATAAAACCTCGTCCTCCAGCTTTGTCTCGCCGCCCATGCGAGACTATCGACATACAGAACACCCGCGCCTTCCTTATTAAGTATGTGCCAAATATGTTCCTTAGTACAATTGGCCATGAAGGTGTATTCCATTACCGAATGTGTGGGGCCTCTACGCTTCGCGTCACTAATCTGTCCGAGGATAACTTCCATTTAGCAGAGTCGTTGCGGGAGCAGATGGAGACGTAGCTTTCCTCGAGGAACCGTTCGGCCGGGAAAGGTTTCTAACCCGACGGTGTGACAATGCCCGTACATTAATAGAGTTGGAAGGCGTCGGATAATGAGGGATACTCACAGGAAGGAATGGAATAAGACAGCACCGACAGACAAGTAATAGCAACCACGCTTGAGAAACTTTTCACTGCGTAGTGTGTGCAAATATGGTGGTGAAATAAGGAAACGAAAACTTGTTCTCACTAGAGCGAAATCTGTTCACATTGATTCTGCAACCTCTGTTGGTATGATGTTGTTACATGTCCCAAGAGTATCAAGCTCAACGAATATCCTCGTCTACCTTACTTTGCTCGGCCTGTTCTAGCAAGTGTCGGAATCGCGACCTGAAGGATAGATGCTCAAGCGCTCTCTAGACCATGTGACCACCTGCTCGTGATTCGACATATCCCTCAGTGCCGACACCAATGCCAAACGCTCTTTCCTTGCTTCTTGCACCCCAAGCCCAACCATGTCCTCTGCTTAAGGGCAAGTGGTACCAACGGAAGCTGATCCAGGCTGTGCAGATGCCCAGCAATGATCCAGCGATAATGTCGAAACCGAAATGGTAGAAGTCGGTGTATCGCGTAGAGCCGATGTAAATAGCTACCGCGATGGGAACGAAAGCAATTGCGAGCAGGTGTACTGGTGGACTCGCAGCCGAATTGCGGATCAATAAAGAGTTGGCTGGAGGTGGGTGGGCGATATTCTCTAGCGATGATATTCTGACCGGGTCTCGTGCATCAGTTTGGTCTCTCATGCGTGGCTGAAGCTCAAAATTGTTTGTGCGGGTTGGAAAGTATGGCGGATTGTCGGTAGGAGTGCGTGGGAAGGGAAGAGCCGGTATGCCAATGCTGAATTTTGAGCAAAGGAACAAGGTTAAGTAAACGAGCCCCGCGAAGGAAAAAGACGAGTGTCCGCTGGGAAAGCTTCGAAAGCCATCATCGAGGGTGTGTAGATCGGACGTGGTACAGATGGAAGTGTCGACCAGTGTCCACTCTGGATTGATGCTTTGGCCATAGCCACCAACAACGTGAGATGCAATGTCCGTCAGATCTGGCTGACAGCGCGCGAGCATGTTGGGTCGTGGCTTGCCAAAGAGCTGCTTAGAGCCTTGGGTAATAAAGAAGGAAGTAGCAAGCGCGAGCGCCAATCCTGCCCAGCCCTTTTCCAGCTCCCAGGCCTTGAGTCTGAGTGCGTCTGCGCGCTTCATGGAGCGTGAGATCTTCCACCCTGGAACACAGGTGGCAACAATGAGGAGTATGATGATTGCTGGGGCCAAGCCAGTCACTAGAAACACAGTGGTGATGGAAAGCTCCGACTCGATGGGGTAGGAAATGTTGAGATCGAGAAGGGAGAATGGTCGGTGATAAGGTCGCACGAAGTTCAGACCTCCTCCTGCCGCCGCGATGAGAACGATGACGATCCAGTCGACTGTGTATGCCAGAGTAAGCGCCCAGTTGTCGATAAGCGGTTGCAAGGCCATCACTGGCGAGTTCTTGTGTTGTTGTGAAGGATGCCTTTGCTGGCCGGGAAGGAGAGGTCGGACAAAGGAGTCGCCAGACGCTGACATGTGTGTTGTACGATGCCGAGTTGGAGTAAGGCCACTTTCTTTTTTTCACGAGTGCAGTCCCAGGTGACAGTGGCAATGGTGTAACGTGGTCGCAGGCGCATGTTCCTTGACGCGGGGAATGGCATCTATGAGGCTGAGCAGACGTTGCGACTGTAAACATCCGCCACGCATCTGGATGCGTGACTCGCGACGCCAGCACTGCCCGATTATCTGTGCGTGCAGAGAGCCGAGGTGCAAACGTCCACAGGGAAGGACAATATGTTGTGCAACCACGGTAAATCACAAGTATCCCGCACAAATGTACCCCTATTCTTGACCTCATCGATCAGATGTGCAACAAGGCAGAACCCGGCGTTCCGGCGCGCGTCGCGAACGTTTCATGGCAAGACCATTCTTCCGCGCCTTGCTCTTTTCTTAATTGTGGAAACCTCGCTTACCATGGTAGGGGCCACCCACAAGCTTGATGCCAAGCCACCCAGATCGCCCCTGCATTTGTTCACAACGGGAGGACGCTGACGTGGCTCAGTCCCTTACCAAAACCCTACTACCATTGGTCAGATAAAGCGCGGTTGAGACGGGATGACCTGAAACAATCGGATGCTGCCATGTAGGGAAGGAGTCTGCAACCAATTGGCGACTGGCATTCGCTCCTTCGACACATGTGTCCAGACGTCACCTTGACATTGTCGACTTTTGAGATATGCACGAAACGCTGTACGTGTGCAAGACAACCATCTGAGCCTGCATGTTGCACGTGCTGTCGTGCTCATGACATGTGCATGAAACCCCTGATGCATTCTGTGAGAAGTGCGGTCTTCGCAGAGCGTCGGTCTTCCACATCCAGGAATTGCAACGGCCATGTCCAACAAGCATCTCGTATCGGGAGCTGGGGTTCTGATAATAATGCGTCAAATGACGGGGTGGAATTCGCCGAGCGATGCGACTTTCTGTTGAGGAATGCCGTCAGCCTTGTCTTGCAGGGAGCCGTCCCTCAACGGTCAAAGTTTGTGCGTCGACGTGGTTGCACCATGCTGTCCAATTGGAACTCCGTGGCCGCGAGGTCTACTATTGGCTTTGCTCTGATCTCGAGAATTTCAGTGCCTGAGACTTGAGTCCGAAGCCGGTACGAACCACGGGGGTGGTAGACGCCAGCCGTTTCGTTCAAATGGCCAAGTTGGGCGGGTCTTCCGGAGTGATGTGCGTCAGATACCAAAACGCTCATCTACAGCGGGCATTGGAGCAAAGCCAGTCATCCATTATTTATACCGCAGTACTTTTCTCCTTGCCATCGAAGCATCTAACCTAAATTTCTCAATATTTATTCTGTACAGCGAACCCATCGCTGTTCTATCAGCCTCTTGTGCCCTTTCTGGAAGCTCCGAAAATGTTGCAAGAAACAACGCGCTATCTGGAAGGCAAGCAACTAATCTTGGCCGTCCTGGCGCTCAATGCCGCCAATGGTGTCTGTTTCGTGGATCTGCTTGGTATTACCGCTGTCTTACCTACCATCGCCGAGTCATACAATGCCGCAGGAACGATAGCCTGGGCAGGCACTTCGCAGCTCGTCGGAGCAACTATTGGACAATGCCTTCTAGGGTACTTGAGCGATCTGTTCAGTCGGCGGCGGATGCTTCAGTACGCGACACTTATCCTCACAATAAGCAGTCTGCTATGCGCATTGAGTGGTTACCCCAAAGACGCACCATTCCTCTATACGGTCCGGGCATTCTCAGGCATTGCAACTGGGAGTATCTCAAACCTGGTCAACATCGCCCAGAATGATTTTCTGCCCGTCCATCGACGAGGTAAATACCAGGGAATCCAAGGGATAAGTGTGGCTCTTGGTAGTATTCTTGGTGTCATGGCAGGTGCTGCTTTCAGCTTAAGCGGGAATGCGTGGAATGTGATGTATTACATGTAAGTGCCCTACTCTCCCTAGTCCATGACGACTTTTGAAAATTCTGACTCATTGGGCGACATACAGGGAGACGGGCATGGCTGCAGTAGCTTTCGCGTTGATCTACCTGTTCGTTCCGCCGAATATCGTTGCTCCAAGATGGGAGCAGGTCAACGAGACACTCAAAAGTTTTGACGGCTTTGGGATGTTATCTGGCGCCGGCTTTATCGTGCCGCTACTAATCCTGGTGTGCCAGGCAAGCAGTCTGAAGAAGCAGGAGGCAGTGCTAATAGCGCTTTCCGTTCTCTGCGCCGTTTCGCTTACAGTCTTCATGACTTTGGGTTTCCGAGATCGAAAGGTGCGACCAGTTATCCCATTCGCCCTTTTCTGTAACCGAACTATCGCGGCCATTCTCGCGCAGAATGTTCTTTTCGGCGCCGTGTACTACGGGTTTATCTACTTCGTTCCCCTGTATCTGCAGGTGGTACGTGAGAAGCAACCGGTCCTAGCATCGGCAATCTTCGTGCCATACTTTGCGACGCACGGAATTTGGTCCACCGTCTCTGGTCTTATCCTCAGCATGCTGCAAAACAAAGGCCGAAGGAGTTACTCTTACGTTTTGTCGTTTGGATTCGCTATATGGACGCTAGCTATGGGACTTCTCGCGTGGCACAGCAACCGCGTAGCCTCTCCATTGGCTCTATTCGTCGTGTTCGAAATCCTTGTTGGCCTAGGTACCGGATCTGTCTTTCAGAACTCGATTATGGCCATTCGAGCCCAGGTTACAGCAGACCTAAACGCCGTGGCAGTGAGCACCAGGAACGTGCTTCGATTCTTTGGGGGCGCCTTAGGCATTGCTATATGCTCTACTGTCCTGGAGAATCGCTTAAAGTATTCCATGCCTTGGAGACTCGAGTGGGTGTCTGACACGGCGTTTTCAAGGACACCAAAAGATATGCTCTCACCTTCGGATTACCTTCTGGTCCAACATTCGTACGCCAGAGCTATCGCATGGATCTGGTACATTGCCACAGGCATGATCGCACTTTCCCTTGTGTTGTGCTTATTGATCAAAGACAAGACATGTCCGGCCATCAAACCCGGCAACCACGTATCCGAGGAACAACCAGCTGTTCGACCCTAAAAAGAGAGCCAGGAGAAATACGTCACAGTGTCACGCAGTGACAAGGACGAAGATGATTAGCCAAGCGCGGTCGAAAAAGTACGTTGGTCTGTACTGTGGAAGACCAGGCCAAGGTTGGCTGGCTCGGTTAAATTCACCCATGTGGTTCACAGCATCTGCCGTCTTTAGAATGACTAGATTACGATTGTTGGAAGTCTCGAATCTTGCCCCAATAGCATTACGCGGCCTTGCCCACAGAACTAATGAGCGCCTTGCCAAGAGCATACCAAGATATGCCAAGTGATGCGGCCAGCTCTGGACTCCTGCTTGTTCTTCGGCTCGGTGTAGTTTCGGCAGGCTTAGCATGCTCGTATAATCTCCAGCCTGTGTCTTATCTGATCCGTGTCCCCACCTGTCCTTGGTCTCTGCTGACAGTCTTTCCCCATCTGTGATCATGGTGAACGTCTTTGCGGTTCCTGGTATGATCTTGCGCAAACCCACCAGAAAATGGCACTAACTCTATCTTGTAGTGTTCTTCATCTGCCTGCGCGAGTCGCTCGAATGCGCAATCATTGTCGCAATCCTGCTCTCGTTCGTCAAGCAGGTGATTGATCCCGGCCAGGACCCGCCTCTGTATCGCAAGCTCGTTCGACAGATTTGGTATGGTGTACTCTTGGGAATCGCCATATGCATCGCTGTTGGAGCGGGAATGATTGGTGCGTGGTACGGCTTCGGCAAGAATCACTTCTCCAAGACAGAAGACATCTGGGAGGGATGCTTTGCACTCCTCGCGACGGTCATTATATCCTTCGTCGGCATTGGCCTGTTGCGCGTGTCGAAGTTGACAGACAAATGGCGACTCAAGATTGCACAAGCCCTCGAGAAGAGACACCGACGCAGCGGACTTAGTGCAAAGACTCGTTTCGACGTTTGGTGTCGAAAATACGCAATGGTATTGCTGCCTCTGGTGACCGTGTTACGCGAGGGACTGGAAGCAGTCGTGTTTATTGGCGGCGTTGGACTAACGCTCCCGGCCACCTCGTTCCCAATTGCTGTAATCGCCGGCTTGGGAGCAGGTGCTGTTGCCGGCTACGTGATATATCGGTAAGTGATACTGCACAAATACATTTTCCCAAGTTGCTAAGCGCTGTCACTGGCAGCTTCTGGAACAGCACTCGCCTTCAAATATTTCTCATCGTGTCGACCTGCTTCTTGTATCTCATAGCCGCTGGTAAATTAATGTCTCCGCAAGGATGCAGGCTTGCAGTACTGATGAAAGACAGGGTTGTTCTCGAAATCGGTGTGGTACTTTGAGAATTATGCTTGGTCACAGAGTGTTGGCGGCGATGCTGCTGAGACAGGCTCTGGAGCTGGCTCATACGACATTCGGCAGAGTGTCTGGCATGTGAACTGCTGCAATCCCTTGATCAATGGCGGCGGCGGTTGGGGGAATCTTCAATTCCATCTTGGGCTGGTAAAATTCTGCGACGTACGGTACCGTGCTTTCGTACAACTTGTACTGGCTGGTAGTGATCGTTTCCTTCGGATCTCTTGGATTCTATGAGAAGCGAGGGCATTGGCCCTTCATGAAAGGCCGGCGGGTTCAGAAGGGCGGAAATGTCGACACTTCTGGTGAAGAGCCCGAAGCTGCTTCTGAGAAGAGCGGCAAAGTGGTACCGATCGGGGAAGATCTTACCAGAACCTTGGTCGTGGAAGTACAGGACAACTGAGAACGCTCTTTGTTATTGTGAGCCAAAACCCCAACCACAAACGGCAGTCAGAGCAGGCTCGGCCCAAGACCGGCAACTTAACTACTCCGTTGAGCAGTTAATAATAGTCTTGGTGTCTGAGTCGTGCCGTGTGTGCGTGTAAGAAGACAATAGACAAGAAAGGGTTTAAAGAATGTACAAGGCTGAACGCAAGGCTAAGAGACGAATAAAGTAGTACTCCTGTATATTAAAGTAATACAAAGGGCTATTCTGAATATAAGTACAAGTAATATTATAGGGTCGGTCGCAAGTTCGATTGTTATTCGAAGCAGATTCTTCTCAAAACAATGCGTAGAACCCCTTCTTGCAACAAACTCTCTTGCCCAGTCCGGGATATCATACCGGCCTACATTATGCTTAGCACTCGACATCCGCTGCGCTTTCGAACCTCAGCCGCTCTACGAACACCAGGATTATATTGCCGAGGCGCAAAGAGAAACTTGAAAACATTTCCTAACGGGGCTTGACAACGCTTAACCAGTGACTGTGTCTCACTGGACCGGCCATATAGTGATGTACCAGGCACAAACATGTAGTAAATCAATGGCGTCGTCTCCCGTCGTCTCCTGCTACGTTCTGCGAGCCTGGTGATGATGCAGGACAGAACGTCGGACATTGTTGGTTTGTGCTGTTGCGATGATTGCATATTGAAGTTATGCATGGTTCCTGCGTGCCAGTGTCATCTCGTTCCGAAAGGTTTTACGGAACAGCATAATAGGCGTTTCGATTGGGACTGGTTGATGAGTGCTGTGATTGAAGACTGACCATGGTCAAACAGTTGTAGGTCCGTTACCCACCCTTCCATGAGATCGAACATGAGGCGTTTCGGCGAAAAAGCGGAAGCTAGTGACACACGACACTGCGGCTGATCTTCTGCTTCAATGAGCAGCTCCTCACGCCTGTCGTCGCGCTAGCAGCCACGAACACGACGCGGGCCACGGTGCACATCTGGAGAAAGTCCGGCCGGGTAGGACAGCACGTGGCTAATCGACTCGCTACCGTTTTGAAGACGGTCGGAATGGTTTCCCAACCGTCCATAGGTACGAAATTTTCCATGGCTTTTATCCTATTGCAGGAACGCACACGTAGATCGTGCTCTGAGACGGTGATATATCAGTCCTTGCACCATTCTGCACCTCGCAGAGAGCTTGTTTTTCAACCGAGGAAGACGAGACCCGTGAAAATGCTTGGCCTATGCTTATCGGCCCTTACCCTTACTTGCCTGTTGAGACACACATCCGCTATTATAGACCATTACAATGGGACTTCAATGCAGCTACGGCTTGCCTATGCTGGCCCTACCGGCATGATGGTAAGCTGGAATACACAGGCCAAGCTGGAACAGCCCACCGTACATTGGGGAACATCACCACACCGGCTCAACCATAAGTCGACCTCCAATGTCTCGGTGACCTACCCGACATCGAGTACGTATAACAACCACGTCAAGATCGAAGGATTACGACCGAACCAGCTATACTACTATCAGCCCAAGCACATCCAAAGTGGTGAAGTGTACTCGTTCCGCACGAGCAGGCCTGTAAGCATTTACGAACCATTCAAGACGGCGGTGGTCGTAGACTTGGGGACGATGGGCAAAGACGGACTCACCACGCATGTTGGCGCTGGTGCTGCAAACCCTCTGAAGCCGGGAGAAACTAACACTATCCAATCTATCAATTCTGCCAAGAACGATTTCGACTTTTTATGGCATGGTATGCAAACTGTGCAATCGAGAGGTATCTTTTCTCAAGAGCTAACAACCCGCAGTTGGAGACATAGCATATGCAGACTACTGGTTGAAAGAAGAGATTCAAGGCTTTTTACCAAATACCACCATTGCCGAGGGAGCTGAGGTCTACGAACGCATTCTCAACGAGTTCTATACCGAGATGAGCGCCATCACCGCAACTAGGCCGTACATGGTTGGGCCGGGGAATCATGAAGCGAACTGCGACAACGGTGGAACCACCGATTCTGTTCACAATATCACATATACAGTCGGCATATGCATGCCGGGTCAGACGAATTTCACCGGCTATCGAAACCATTTCCGCATGCCGTCAACAGAAAGTGGCGGATTGGGTAACTTTTGGTATTCGTTCAATCACGTAAGGACCACAAAGGAACGGAATGGGTTTCGCAAACCTTGATTGCTGACGTCTGGCTGACTTAGGGGATGGCCCACTTTATACAACTCGACACGGAGACCGATCTGGGCCACGGCTATATTTCCCCCGACGAGCCTGGCGGTAGCGAAGCAGAAGACTCTGGTCCCTTTGCGAGCTACATGAACCAACAGACGAATTGGCTTCAAAAAGATCTCGCTGCTGTCGACCGCAGAAAAACACCCTGGATCATCGTCGGAGGGCATCGGCCGTGGTACATTAGCGCTAAGAACAAGTCTTCTACGATTTGCTTGGAGTGCAAGGATGTTTTCGAACCGTTATTTTTGCAATACTCTGTGGACCTGGTTCTCTCGGGACACGTACACGCTTATGAGAGGAATGCGCCGATGTATAATTATGAGGTACGTTGAGACTGCGGCATGTGGCCACGGGTGCGTTGAACTTTGACACGATATAGGTTGATCCTGCCGACTTGAACAACCCGAAATATCCATGGTACATCACGAACGGTGCGGCTGGCCATTACGATGGTCTGGATAGTTTGACCCGTCCGTTCCAGGGCTACTCGCGCTACGCGCAGGACACGGCATACGGCTGGAGCCAGCTCACGTTTCATAATGCTACACATCTGACACACGACTTCATTGCAAGTGGAAATGGAAGTTTGCTGGATACTGCCACACTCTACAAAGAGCACAAGACAACATGTGGAGGTCGTGGACATCCTTACAGTTGGCCTAAGCACTCGTGGGCGGGCTGTTAAGAATGACATGTGTTCGGGGAAGTGGTTTCAGACGCGCACACTCCAAATCATGGAAACAACAATTTATGCGTTCTGATCTTCCAATTCATTGTCGCCGCAGAGCTTAAGTCGTCCGCGTTCAGTACATCCGCCAGACATGGTCACGGAGCGGAATCGGCCCAGTCGGTGTCCCCAATATCTGACCTTCAGACATACTCTCGCATGGTACCGTCGCATATCGCTTGAATCCCCGTGTGTCCATCCTTCACTGCGTTCTCCTATGCGTGTGATAAAATGTCTGTGCTCCAAGTAGCTTTCCACCAGTCTGCTCGCTCGGCTACGCGCATCTCGGTGCTCTGGTGCTTCACGGCTACCTTGACATGGCTCCTGTTGGATCTCGTCGTCGTGAAAGTGCGACGACTGAAGCCGTTTATCATCCTCGGCGGTTGCCTACATGTCGTTGCATACGGCATGCTTATATACTATCGAGGCGGGACAGGGCCTGGAGACAATGCTGGTTTGATCGGTGCCCAAGTGGGTTGGGCATCGCTGGTGGGTTTGTGCCTTCTCCTGCTCTTTCGAGCATACAAGCGTCTACGGAGCATGAGGTGAGTAGCGGGTGAGATTCACAACGAGCACGGTTGTCTGGCTGTACTATCTCTAGAATGTAGCGGTTATTATCGGACTTTACCTCGCCATCCAAAACGTTGGCAGTGCTTTCGGCAATGCCGCCTCAGGCGCCATCTGGAGACAGACCTTGCCCAACAAGCTTGCAACGAACCTAGGATCAGTGACCACGAACTCATCGATGGCGGCCGCTGTGTATGGGAATCTGTTTCAGTGGATCGCCGAATATTCTGTCGGGACTCCAGAACGCGCAGCTGTCACGGACGCGTACCGTTACGTGCAGAGGCTGCTCTGCATCACAGGCGTCTGTTTGAGCACGACACTTATGTTCTTTAGCTTGTTCCTCCGGAGTCCGAAGTTGTCGAAGGAGCTTAAGGCTGCTCAGGCTGAGGAGGAGAATGAGGAGCACGATTGGCGCGACTGAAGGCGGTAGCCAGCATATGCTATGGGCCTCTTCCCAAGGAATCTTTGGACAAGGCCTCGGCATGTAGAAGTTTCTACTCAAGTAAGTCTGACATGTCATGAGAGATCTCGAGATTAGAGCCATCCATATATCGAGCAAGTCTGCAGCGCTCCGTCAAAGTTGGGTGGCGAGACGACGTTATTCCGGTGTCCTTGCAGTATGGTCAAAAACGCTCCACTCCATCCCGTCATTATGACTTCGCTAGCTCCTTGTCGACATCTACCAAGATGTTTTTGATCCACTTGATCTGTGACTCCAGTGCTCTCCGCCGTGCGACAATGGGACTTGGGCTGCCTGCTTCTTCTCCCTTCTCTTTTCTAGTTGTCTGCTATATGGACGTCAACTCTCTTACTCCTTATATGCCCTTCCCCGTTTCGGCAAATCTTTCTGTTCTCGCCAACGGGTCTACGTGTACCATGAAATTTGAAGTAGATACTACAAGCATTGCACAGCCTCCGCCCGATAGAGTCTACCCGCTATATAGGCGTCTCAATTGCTTCGTAGTTAGTACTATAACTAGTATTATGTTATATTTTTAGCCTGTAGCTCTATCTATTAATATTAGAAGCTTAGTTATAAAGTCTATTATAACCTTATCTTATAGTATAGCTATAGAAGTTCTAAACTATATATATCTATACTTAGTATATTTTAAAGCTTTATTCTATTAGTACTTAGTATACTTCTTAATATAAATAAGTACTTTTTATCTTATTTATAGAAATAAGAAGCTTTACTAGATAAGTTCTATAGTTTTTGTTATTTCTAGATAACTATATAGCTTACTATTATAATATTACTAGATATACTTCTTCTTTTATTTCTTAGAAACTTAGTATTTCCTCTATAATATAGGAAAATATTCTTCTTTATCTTAAAGAATATATACTATATTATTAAACTTATTAGAGTTAGTACTTAAGCTTCTATTCTAGTTCATTTTTAGAATCTATTATTATACTAGTTCTTTTCCTTCTATATAGTTACTATTAGCTCTACTATTATTCTTTTCTAGAGTATAGTAGATTTTAAACTTATATTAACTAAGTAGTTCTAACTAGTAGAACTATCTATATATTAGTACCTTTATTATAGTAAAGTATATTAGCTTCTTATAATTAGTAAGAATTATTAGTTTAAGTAAACTCTCTATATATATTCTCTAGTATATTAATAATATAATAATAGTAAGAAGTTCCTTATTATAGATATTATAGTTTTATTCTATAGAAGTTATCTTTCTTAAGTAGTAGGCTACTAGGTATTATTTTCTATTATACTTCTATATAAGATATACTTCTATAGCTATATCTAATATATTTGTCTTTAGAAAGACTAGTAGCCTTCTATTAAATAGCTTTAGTATAGATATAGAAATATATATATTAATTATTTTCTAGAATACTTTCTAGTATTATTCTTCTTACTTCTACTTAGTATCTTTCTTAGTAAGGTCTAATAGAGTTAAAGATATTACTAAATAGTTTATAAGTTCTAAGAATATCTATATATTTATAATATACTTTAGTATTAGCTATTTCTTAAGTAACTTAATCTTATCTAGGTTAATTATTATTCCTATTAAGCTAATAATAAAGCCTAGAAACTTAACTTTCTTCTTATAGAATCTATATTTCTTAGAAGCTATCTAAAAGCCTACTTATATAAGTTATTTAAATATATTCTATACTTATTTAATATAAGTCTTAAAGGATTCTCTAGTATATATAAGTATATTATCTATATAGATAATAACTATAATATTTAGAAGGTCTTTAAAAATACTATTAACTATATTCTAGTAAAATAGTAGTATATTAGTTAGCTCTATAGGTATAACTAGAAACTTTTAAAGTCTATATTATATTTAGAATACTATTTTCTATTCTTCTTTTAGTACTATATATATAGTATAGAAGGCGTCTTATAAGTTAATCTTTATATACTAATATAATCTAGTAAGTCTATTTTATAGTTCTTTAATATTTAGTAATAGATATTAGTTCTTAATAGTTATTTTATTAAGACCTCTATAGTCTATAATTATCCTTTTCTTTCTATTAGATTTTAAAATAAATATAATTAGCGCTCTAATACTAGACGTTAATTTATAGATCTAGCTCTTTCTAAGTATTAAATTTAACTATCTATCTTCCTTTTATAGTTCTTTCTAGAATTTCTTATATAGAGCTCTAAATAGAGGCTCCTTTCTAAGTATAAGCTTAATATAGTAGTTCTATTACTAATATTTAGGTAAAGCTTCTAGTTCTTTCTTCTTTTTAAAAAGCTTTAACTACTTCTAATACTTCTTAGAAATAGTAAGCGCTAGTTTACTTATAAAGGAGGTTATAGTAATATATAGAACTCTATTAATCTATCGCCTAATTAATAAAAGAACAAACTTCTACCTTCTCTATTCTCGTATACTATAAGCGTAATATACGCCTATACGCGTTACGTAGATTAGTACTTACCTAACTTTTTAGTATCCCTATTCTAAGATCTTTAATAATTACCTCCTCCTCTTAAGAAGAGCTGTCTCTAGCTCGATCTATAGTATAAGGGCTCTAGTACGTTTAATATTCGAATTATAAGCGAATTATAAGAGGAATATATCTAGAAGTATTACCTATTAAACTTTAACTCTAGGTTAGGCAATTTTAAGAGGCGCTATTTTTCTAAGTATATATATCCTATACGTCTCGTATATATATTATATAGAAGGCTAGTTAGAAGGCGGAGCTAAGTTCTAGGATTTAGAGGAAGTTTTAGCTCCTTCTTTTTTAGGCGATTATAAAAAAGCTACGTTAAAAGTATATATTTAATTAAGAATCTTCCTCCTCTAGCGAATAGGAGTAATAGCCTAGTTAGTAAGTATTTAAATTAAATACAAAAAGCGTTTCTTCCTAATCTAAATTCTAGCTTATTAATATTAATTATATTACTCTAGGTAATATAGCTATATAAAACTCTAGGTATAGCGTCGAGTACTTCTCGTATTCGATATATACTCGAACTTCTTACGATCTAGTATAGTAGTAAGAAATTTACTAGTACTATTAATATAGGTAAGCGTAAGAGTACTACTACGCCTCCTATACTACTACTATCTATCTCTCGCTATACTACGTAGCTTCTATACTACTAGCGTTACCTCTACTACTTCTCTAATAGTAAGTATCCCTCCTCTTATATAATATTTTTAGCTAACTCGTATTCTAGCTAGTATTATACCTTAGTATAGTACTATTTTTAGATAGCTTATAAAGAAGTATAATTACTATAGTAAGAATAGTTACCCTTACTTTAAGGTTACCTCTACTAATATAAAGGCTCGTTAGAGTCGTATTATATCTATATATAATACGCTTACGACCTTATATAAAGAGAATACTAAAGTAGAGGATAATAAGGATCCTCCCTATAGTAATAATAAGAGTATATAGCTCTTTATTTACTTCTTATATTACTCTTAGCTAACTCGTATACTAGTCGCTAATACTTAAGCTAAGCTCTAAGTTACTATTACTACTATTAAGGCTAGCTTATACTAGCTAGCTTCTAGTAACTCGTCGAAGCTAATTACTTCTTAGTCTATAGGCGGTCGCTTTATAAACGTTCTTAGTAAGTATAAAAGTAAGAAGATTATCTACCTTTATAGTATTACTACGTCTTTAGCTAGCTTTACTAAGTTTAGTTATTAGGTAAGTTTCCTCTATAAGTCGTATATAAGTCTCCTACTAACTAGTTTCCTAGTATATAACTATAAATAATATAGATACTCCTACTATTAAAGTAGTTATAGCTAAGGTTAATAAGGAGCGTAAAGTCTTAGATTTCGATAAGTAGGTAGTTTAAGTACAGTTCTTCTATAGTTTACGTATATACTCTTATTAGACGTCTTCGTAGTATCGCTTTAGATAGTAAAAATTAAGAGAGGTTTTTTAAGAGTTATTAAGTTCTTCTTTCTTTCTTTTTTCTTACTTTTTTTATACGATTATCCTTCGCCTAGTATACTTTAATTTCTTCTTTAGTATTTCTATAGCCTTCTTTTTCTTCCTAGCTATTATATTCTTCTAACTATCCCTTCTACTTTATTAAGTACTATCGAGTTCTAGTTCCTTTCCTTTCCTCGTATCTAGTACTTCTTCTACTTTCTACTTACCCTCTTTATCTACTAGTAGTATACTATCTACTTACTCTACTTTAGAACCCTTCTAAGATTCTAATAAGGAAATATAAAAGATACTATAAATCTTTATATTCGCTAGTAGCGCTAGGCGGTACGCTTACTTTCCGATAGTATCTAGTACTTTATATAGTCTAAAGTATTTTATATCTAGTTTCTTCTTTAGAACTATAAGATAGAGGTTCTTTATACTTAAAAGTATTTAATCTCTAATCCTATATTTCTATACTTTATATTTCTTATTATAGTACTTAGCCTATATATTAGCTATAAGTTTCTAGCGATCTACGAGCGTCTTTTATAGAGTTTTTATTTTCTCTACTAGCTCTTAGGCTAC